AACGATCATGGATCAACCGAAACGAAATAAGCAACGCCTTGAAGATATGGTGGCCGGTAACGAGCGTTTATGTAACGAATTGGCCTTGAAGGTAGCCAAATCCCAACAGACCGCATGTCTTGATCGGGGTCGATCCCCAGGAAAAAAGGACGATCGACGACGTCGACTTCAGAAACACGGTAATGGCAGCGACTCTGACTCACCATCCCAGGAGCTAGCTCATCCGAAAGGAGTCCGTACGTAAGGCACAGGCGAGGGAAAGAAAGTGATGATTCAGATGAAGAAGACAGGCATGACCCTTTCGTACGATAGATTGCAAGGGTTGTGCTGCTTAAAAAGTTCAAAGCACCACCGTTCACCCTGTATGACGGAAAATCGGATCCCATCGACCATATTCGTCATTACAAACAAGCGATGACATTGCATGCTGATAACGAAGCCCTCATGTGTCGAATGTTTCCAAGTAGCAGAAGAACAAGTAAGAAGCCTGCTCAAACCCATATAACCGAAGTGGACAATATTTCCAATGGTGTAGATGACATCAATTTTTCTGCAGTTGTTTCCGAGGCAAACCTTGTCGGAAATCCTAAAGAATGGTGGGTGGACACTGGTGCTACTCTCCATATCTGTGCTGACAAAAAGATGTTTACATCTTATTCTACAGTGGACAATGGTGAATAACTTTTTATGGGCAACTCCTCAACTTTCAAAGTTGAAGGACAATGAAAGATTGTATTTAAGATGGCATCTGGAAAGGAACTCACTCTCAACAATGTGTTGTATGTACCGGACATTCGCAAGAATCTTGTTTCTGGATCTTTGTTGAGTAAGAATGGGTTTAGGCTAGTGCTTGAGAGTGATAAATTTGTACTTACTAAGAATGAGATGTATGTAGGAAAAATTTACATGTCTGATGGCCTTTTCAATATGAATGTAATGACCGTTGTACTCTCAATTATTAATAAAAATACATCTTCTTCTTACTTGCTTGAGTTTTCAAATTTATGGCATGGTAGACTTGGACATGTTAATTATGGATCTTTGCGTAGATGAATTAATATGGAATGTTTACCTAAATATGACATTGATTTAAATCATAAATGTGAAATTTGTATTGAATCAAAATTAACCAAAACTCATTTTCATTCAATTGAACAAAGTATGGAGCCGCTTAAATTAATTCATAGTGACATTTATGATTTTAAATCAATTCAAACTAGAGGTGTGAAAAAATATTTTATCACTTTCATAGATGACTATACTAGATGTAGTTATGTTTATTTAATTCGAACCAATGATGAAGTTTTGGAAACTTTCATTCAATATAAGAATGAAGTTGAAAATCAACTTTGCAGGAAAATTAATATTCTAAGAAGTGATAGAGATGGTGAATATGAATCACCTTTTGGTGAGTTTTGTAAAGAATATGGAATAATTCATCAAACTACCGATCCTTACTCACCTGAACAAATGAAATTGCTGAAAAGAAAAATATGACTTTAAAAGAAATAATGAATGCCATGTTAATGAGTTCTGGATTATCTCAGAACTTGTGCTAGAACCTCAAAATCTTTTGGTCTAAATTTTCTAACATTTTTGTTAGAAAAGTGCCTTTAACTTTTAAAAAAGTTATGTCCAATTCTGAGGCTCTTTTATGGAAAGAAGCCATAAATAGCGAAGTTGAATCTATCTTGCAAAATCACACATGAGAATTGGTGGATTTGCCACCAAGTTGTAAACCTCTTGGATATAAGTGAATTTTCAAGAGGAAAAGAAAAGCATCAATTGACAAATACAAGGCAAGATTTGTAGTCAAAGGATATAGGCAAAAAGTAGGTCTTAATCACTTTGACACATACTCACCAGTTACTAGAATAACATCCGTTAGAATGTTAATTGTTATTGCATTTTTGTATAATTTAGAAATTCACCAAATAGATGTGAAAATAACTTTCTTAAATGGTGAGTTAATGAAAAAATTTATATGGAACAACGAGAAGGATTTTTTGTTCTAAGGAAATAAAATAAAAAATTGGTTAAATAATTACATGGTTTAAAACAAACGCCAAAGCAATATCATGAGAAATTTGACAAAAAAATAATGTCAAATAAATTTAAAATTAATAAATATAATAAATGTATTAAAAATACAAGCAAAAGTTACGTTATAGTGAATTACAAGCCATGGGGCCTTCCCTTCAAGTTTCTTGTAAAGACTTAGCAGTACTTGACATTCAAGTCTTTGATTGAAAAAGATGGCTTGGTTGCATAATTAAAAAGTTAACACTATTCACTAAAAGGCAATAATTATGGCGGTATAATTTTCAATTCAAATTTTTTCCTACAAATCAATTTTTACACTTTTTTATTACACATTTTTCAATAAAAAGTCAAAAAGTTAACCCAAACATCCATATTTTCAACCTCAATTTTTTAGTCCAAAAAGACAAAAAGTGCACTTTTTTAGTTTTCCCAAACTTGGCCTTAGTTTGTAAATTTAACCAAAAAAAATTAAACTGAAAAAATGTGTTTTCAGTGGTTTATAAGAGTCCGGATCCTCCCATTGACGAGGTCATCCTGCTTGCAACGGCTCATATGAGTCATTGGTCATCTAACGGTTGAGATTAAAAAAAAAAAATTAAAAGTAAAATGTTGTCGACTTTCCGTCCAAGCAAAACAAGGACACAGCTTAGGAGGAATTCATTTTCACTCTCACACAGCACTCTCACTCTCACACAGCACTCTCCTCCGTCGAACCCATCCTCACCGACGGCAAACTCCATCCTCACCGACGGCGAACTCCTCAGAACCTAAGACGTCTTCTGCCGCCAAAGCTTTCGACTGATGCTCTTTACAAATTACAGTCGACACTAAGGTCAGAAATCGAATACGAGTTTTCATTAATTGGTGTGTTTTACCTCTTTATGATTTCTTTAACTTTTCTCTAAGGTTCTGCTATTTGATTAACACACTGTAAATTGGATAAATTCAATCAATAAATAAATTCTCAGTTGGTGTGTTTTACCTCTTTTGTTTTATTATTCAATCAATAAATTCTCTTTGTTTTACCTTTTATTAGAAATAGTAAACCAATATAGCACTAAGCTATGACTTCGAGTCATAACCCAGCAAAACAAACAATAGAATTCAATTTTGATCTTTACATTAGAATCCATAAATAGTTGGTGTGTTTTACCTCTTTTGTTTTATTATTCAATCAATAAATTCTCTTTGTTTTACCTTTTATTAGAAATAGTAAACCAATATAGCACTAAGCTATGACTTCGAGTCATAACCCAGCAAAACAAACAACATAATTCAATTTTGATCTTTACATTAGAATCCATAAATAGTTGGTGTGTTTTACCTCTTTTGTTGCTCATCTGATTGTTATTGTGATGTTTTGTTAAAAGGCTCGTAAATTATCTCAGTTTTGCCATAACAGGGTAATGTTATGGGCCTTATCACAGTATGTCTCCTGGTTTTTGTAGACATAGCAGTCTCATGGGTCATGTAATTATTAACTGGTGTCTAGATGTGTTATATTGAATCTCATGAATAATTGAATGAAGCAATATCTATCTATATTAATTTAATCTGGTTTTTAATAATTCAATTTCCTTAATTCCAGTAATTTTCCTTATATGACATATGGTCCTATCTATAAACCAGATAAATTTTATCTATAAACAAATTTCAATTCATTTTCATAGCACTACAATCTAAGCAACCCTGCAATCTTATTAAGAAGCTCAACTATCATTAACCTAAGATTTTATTTATATGGATTTTCAGTTGCATCTTGATATCGATATGGAACCTGAGACTGACTGTGATTGGAAGCCAAAACAGGGAATGATATTTGATTCTGAACAATGTGCGTATGATTTTTATAATACATATGGAGGAAGAATTGGGTTTAGCATAAGAAGAGATTATTGTAGGAAGGACAAGTTCACTAATCAACTTATTCATAGACTTTTGGTTTGTAACAAGTAGGGATTTCGAAAGGTTGACAAGCGAGACCCATTGTCAAAAAACTCTAGAGCTAAAACTAGGACTGGGTGTGAGGCTCGACTTTATATTAAATTACATGAGGGTACTGGAAAATATGTTGTGACTAATTTTAAAGAAAAACACAACCATGATCTTGTATCACCCGAGTGTGCCCACATATTGCCGTCACAAAGAAAGATATCCACTACCCAAGCAATTCAGTTAGATTTAGCGGCACAATCTGGTCTTCGTTTAGGCCAGTCTTTTGAACTCATGGGTAGGGAAGCTGGTGGAAGGCAATGTCTTGGTTTTACGAAATTAGATTCTAAAAATTATTTGAGAACCAAAAGATAACAAAGTTTAGCATATAGGGAAGTAGGCAATGTGTTGCAATACTTTAAAGAAAAATCTTTGCAGAATCCTTCATTCTTCTATGCTGTTCAATTAGATAATGAGGAGCAAATGACCAATATGTTTTGGGCCGATGCACAAATGATCATGGATTATGCCTAATTTGGTGATGTTGTCACATTTGATACGACTTACAAGTTAAACAAAGAACATAGACCCTTCGCATCTTTTGTGGGATTCAACCATCATAGGGAAACAGTTATATTGGTGCAGCATTGTTGTATGATGAGACCGCCGAATCATTTGTATGGTTGTTTGAAAACTTTCTAGAGGCTATGTCAAGGAAGGCACCGAAAACTTTGTTCACTGATCAAGATGCTGCAATGACTAAAGTTATACCCATCGTTATGCCTGACACAAGTCACCGATTGTGTACTTGGCATTTGATGCAAAATGCATTAAAACATGTTAACTGTTTGTTCCAAGATAAGGGGGTGAAGGGTGTACTAAATAAATTCTTCTTTCACATTGAAGATGCAAATCAATGGAAGTTAGAGTGGGCGGAAATGCTTGATAAATATGATGCGCATGAAAACCATTGGTTGAAATTGACTTTTGCGGTGAAAGAAAAATAGGGCTGGCCTTACGTTAGATCAACATGGGCTGCGGGAATGAGTACCACACAACTTAGTGAATCTTTTAATGCTTTTTTGAAGGATTACATTCGTTCTGATTTCAACTTAAATGAATTCTTCATGCATTTCGAAAGGGTACTTTATGAGAAGCGATACAAGGAGTTAGAAGCAGGCTATGCTTTGTGCCAAAGGTTGCCAAAGGTCAAAGCAACAATAAGAATGTTAATTCAAATGGGTAACGTCTACACAAAAAAGATCTTTGAGGAATTTCAAAATGAGTACTTTCAATCCATTGAATCGGACATAGAAGCAATTGAATATGGCGAGGCTAGTACCATTTACACAGTTGTTGATGTTGGTAACAAACATGCAAGGAAAGTGAAGATGGAGAGGGGTGGCTCTTTGGGTTGTAATTGTACAAAGTTTGAAAGGGAAAGAATCTCGTGTTGTCACTCATTAAAGGTCATTACAGACATATTGAAGATGAAAGAGGTTCCTCCACAATACATTCTACAGAGGTGGACCAAACAAGCAAGAGCCGAAACTGTGCAGCACATTAAGGAAAATGACATTGAAGTAGATGTGAAATTCCAACAAGCCTCGCGGTATAAGACATTGATGACCGCATTTAGAGCAGTAGCAAGTAGAGCTGCTGAAACTGAAGAAACTTATGATTTTTGTATTGCACACCTTGCTACATTAGGTGCAGATGTTGAAGGCAAGTTAAGTGCTCATTTTGGTGTTGGAAATGAAGCACGTAATGATGATGACACCCAAAGCTTTGAAGTGGAATGCGAAGATGTGAATCATGTTGTGCAACCAAAAAGATTGAAGAAAAAGGTGGCAACTAGTAAGGGCAAAAGGAGGGTCAATGCTTCAAGGAGGAGAAGGGTCTCCTGATCTGTCCACTTCCCACCACTTACACCAGCAACCTCAGTAGGCTCCATGAGAATGAAATCCGTCGGGGACCATCTAGAGTCAAGCTTCCCATTATTGAAGCATTCAGTACATAAATCATAATCTGCCTGTGCAACAAGAACAGAATCAACAGACAAAATACCTTTCATGGTTCTGCACACAGCTGAAGCATTCATGCTGACCTCATATATTATAGTTACATAACATAACATTCCATCATTCATTCCAAAATTCCATCATTCATCATTCATTCCAACACTCCAAAATGAGATTGACATACTGATTCCATCATTCATTCCAAAATTCCATCATTCATTCCATAACAGATAAGAAGTTTAATGTTCTCCAAAATTCATTCCATAACAGATAATAGATAACAAGTTGGAGCACATAAAACCCAAAAGGATACAAACTTCCATTAAGTTTCCCAAAAATACAATAAAGTCGAAAAGTTACATCATAAAGTATAAAATGATACAAAATACAATGAAGTACACTATCTTTTTGATATTATTTTTCATCCTTTGCAGCCTTCGACCATAGTCATTTTCCATGTAATGAAGCCTCATCCCTACATTGTTCAAGTCTTCTATTGTTATACCAGCAGAAGCTGTACTGTTAGAACGGATTCTGGACGTAACGTCTTCATCATCTTCAGACACGAACTTGAAGTAATTGTAATGGTGAGTGGGAGTGTTACTCTGCAATGCATGCGAAGACATTAGTTCAATAAGACAAATATTAATGTGACTAATAAAGGAAGAAAATAGCTAGAATTACCAACTTACATATTTCGATGGGCAAACAAAGAACAAATGCCCTTCATTTCCATTCTCGTTGGTTCTTACAATATGTATGGCAGCTGTTCTTCCACAATTGCACATTCTCGGTACTAATCTTATGTCGCTAATGTTAGAAGAAGAAGCCATTTTTTAAATCTGCATACATGAGGAGAGGGACAGAGTGTGAAGGCTAATGGAAGTTGTTCTAATGGAAGTTGGTGCTAATGGACAGAGTGTGAAGGCTAATGGGAGTTGGTGCTAATGGTGCTAATGGAAGTTGGTTCTAATAATATGTCCCATAGGAACAACTTGAAGACATTGTTACATATGCAAACTGGTTCTGATGTCAACAGATGCAAACATGGATGTTAACAGATGCAATTGTATGGACTATGGATTGGTTACATACCAGATGCAGATGCAAACTGCTATGCTTCTGACTCTGCATGGTTCTGCTTTGGTTACATAACATATGCAAACAGATTGAAGACATTGTTCCATGCAAACTGGTTCTGATGTTACAGATGCAAACAGATTGAAGACATTGTTAATAACAGATGTAAACTGGTTCTGATGTTACAGAGGCAAACTGGTTCTCATAGACATGGTTATTAACAGATGCAATTGTTTGGACTATGGGTTGGTTACATAACAGATGTATGGACTATGGGTTGGTTACATAACATCAGAACTGTGGGTTGGTTACATGACAAATGCAAACTGGTTCTGATGTTAACAGATGCAAACAAGACCAATATGGAAAATGACTTCTTTCACTCCATCTTTGACTAGAAATAAAAGAACTAAAGCAATATTGACTAGAAAAATTTTCAACTTATTTTACCCAAAAAAAGGGCTTATGCCATACCTGCAGTGAGATATATTGAACAAAATGATGTATTCTATTCACTCAATCTTTTACCATGAATTTTTAAATAGATGGTTTGTAATCAGAGAGAACATATTTTTTTTTGGGGAACTTACTGATAAGTCCCATGTAACAAGTTCAAAACCTAACTAATCCCAAAACAAAATACTTGCACCAATTAGTCCAACACATTTTTAATTGTTACCAAAAATTTTTATTTGTATTTTTTTTAATTTATAGACACTGTTCACATCTTACTACCGTCGGACTTCCGTTTAACAGTCGCCGGAGACTCACCGGAATGTCTAGAATATTGTCAGAAAAAAAAAATTAAAAAACATGTTATGAAACTGTAAAATTTTACAGTTCTAAAGAATGTTATAAAACTGCAAAATTTTACAGTTTTAAACCATGATTCATTCCAGCACAAAAAAAAAATTTGAAACTGCAAAATTTTACAGTTTTCACCGCCTGTAACTAAAACTCGAAAACTGCTTGTTCAGAATTCGAAAATTTTCTCCATTAGAACAGAAAAACAGAAGTGTATAGCAGAGAGAGAAAAAAAAAAAAGAGATCGAAGGGGAAAGACGGATGTCTAACCAAATCTGTGTAGATCTACTCAGATCTGAGTAGATCTACACAGATTTGGTTAGACATCCGTCTTTCACCTTCGATTTCTTTTTTTTTTCTCTCTCGGTAGATACACATTTAGTAGCACTTTACATGATGACCTATTAGTCCTCTTTTCTTTTCACTTTTTGGCTATTGAAGTAATTGGATTTCACTTTAATATAGGATGATAGATAACCGTATGGAATAATTTCCTTCTCATCATCATTTAATTTGTAGGAAAATGGATACGAGGATTTGAATTTAATATAGGATGATAGATGACCATATGGAATAAATTTCCTTTTCATCATTGTTTGTAGCAAAATGGATATGTAGCTACAGATGATAATACATATTGGTAGATACACATTTAGTAGCACTTTACATGATGACCTATTAGTCCTCTTTTCTTTTCACTTTTTGGCTATTGAAGTAATTGGATTTCACTTTAATATAGGATGATAGATAACCGTATGGAATAATTTCCTTCTCATCATCATTTAATTTGTAGGAAAATGGATACGAGGATTTGAATTTAATATAGGATGATAGATGACCATATGGAATAAATTTCCTTTTCATCATTGTTTGTAGCAAAATGGATATGTAGCTACAGATGATAATACATATTGGTAGATACACATTTAGTAGCACTTTACATGATGACCTATTAGTCCTCTTTTCTTTTCACTTTTTGGCTATTGAAGTAATTGGATTTCACTTTAATATAGGATGATAGATAACCGTATGGAATAATTTCCTTCTCATCATCATTTAATTTGTAGGAAAATGGATACGAGGATTTGAATTTAATATAGGATGATAGATGACCATATGGAATAAATTTCCTTTTCATCATTGTTTGTAGCAAAATGGATATGTAGCTACAGATGATAATACATATTGGTAGATACACATTTAGTAGCACTTTACATGATGACCTATTAGTCCTCTTTTCTTTTCACTTTTTGGCTATTGAAGTAATTGGATTTCACTTTAATATAGGATGATAGATAACCGTATGGAATAATTTCCTTCTCATCATCATTTAATTTGTAGGAAAATGGATACGAGGATTTGAATTTAATATAGGATGATAGATGACCATATGGAATAAATTTCCTTTTCATCATTGTTTGTAGCAAAATGGATATGTAGCTACAGATGATAATACATATTGGTAGATACACATTTAGTAGCACTTTACATGATGACCTATTAGTCCTCTTTTCTTTTCACTTTTTGGCTATTGAAGTAATTGGATTTCACTTTAATATAGGATGATAGATAACCGTATGGAATAATTTCCTTCTCATCATCATTTAATTTGTAGGAAAATGGATACGAGGATTTGAATTTAATATAGGATGATAGATGACCATATGGAATAAATTTCCTTTTCATCATTGTTTGTAGCAAAATGGATATGTAGCTACAGATGATAATACATATTGGTAGATACACATTTAGTAGCACTTTACATGATGACCTATTAGTCCTCTTTTCTTTTCACTTTTTGGCTCACTACAAGAAATATGAGTTTTGACGACGTTCATTTAACGGCGTTTTATAAAATGCCATATTTTATAATATTCGACGGCGTTTTTTAAACGTCACTCTTTTAAAATATTAAAACGGTACCGTTTCAATAACAGAAGGTGTCTTAAAGCGCCTTCAAATGTCCTCTCTCTTTCTCCCTTAAATGGGCGAACCTCTGAAGCCCTAATCTCTCACTCACTCATTTTGTAGCCCTAATCTTTTACTCACTCACTCTCTCGTTCGCTCTCTCTCTCAACCATAGTTCTAAATATCGGCCGGTACGTACCGTACCGACCAATTCGTACCGGAAAATTGGATCGCCGATTCGGATATGGACCGGTATACCGGTGGGAGAGAAATTCACAGCCGTATCATCCGATTCCCGATACGTATCGGCCTGAATCCGATACATGGAGCGATACAGTTCCGATACAGCCGGTACGGATGAAATTGTGCTCTGTTTTATGCTCTGTTTCTGTTTTGTTGCTTCTGGTTCTGTTTGTTGTTGTTGTTCTGCTGTTCGCCTTGAGTTGTTGGCTCCTATTCGAAGTCCAAGACCAGACCAACCTCTCTTGTCAACGCATCAATATTTCTTCAATTCTTTTGGATTCTTTGTATGCTGGTTTCTCTTCTTCTACTGGACTATTTACTCGTAACCAACCACTATATTCTTGGGTGGAGCTTTAACAAAAGTGGGCAACCACAGAACTTATGCAATGTGAAAGCTTCTTTCTATGCTCTGTTTGTGTTTTGCATTTCAAATTTTTTTTTTTTTTCTGTTTCGTAATTGCCTTTGTAAGCCACCGTTCTGCATTTTTTAGAGATAGAAAAAGAGGGAGAGAGAGTGAGGATAGATTTTTTTAAAGCCAGTGTCTAAAGTTTTTTTTAAGCCACTGTGTTATACCCTTTTAAGCCATTGTTTAGTTTTATTTATTTTTTATTCATTTGTAGCTGCTTCAGTTCAGCCCTTGGAAAGCTCAGCCATTATTTAGTTTTAAGCCATTTTTATTAAAATATTAATATAAACAAGGGAAAAAAAAGACATTCTTGACGTGTGGCAAAAGGCATTATATTATATTATATATATATATATATATATAAAGGCAAAAAGACAGTGGCTTTAAAAAAATCTATCATTTTTAAGGGAAAAAAGACATTCAGCAAACAGAGCATAGAAAGAAACTTGCAAGTTGCATAATTTATCATTTAAAATATATTTTTTTAAAGGCAAAAAGACATTCAGCAACTATACCTCTGTTTATATTAATATATATATATATATATTTTTTTTTTTTTTCTCAGTTGAGCAAGGGAAAAAAGGTAAGAAAAAAAAATATTGAAATCAAAATCAAGGTTAAAAGTGTTCTTACATATCAAAATTTTGATAAAAATGTGATAAATTAAGTCTGAAAGAGTTAAAAAATGCATAAAATTGAGTTTTAGAGAGATTGTTAATGATTTTTAAAATTTCACGACCTCGACACCCGATTCCCGATACGTACCGGTCGATACTACCAATACCGATACTCCGCGACCGATACCGTTACGTTACCCGATACCGCGATTTAAAACTATGCTCCATATTTAAGTGTTTGTTTTGACGCAGGAACATCTACTAAGGGATAATGAGCTTCTATCTTGGCTTTCCAAATTCTGTGCTATAAACTTCTAATGCAAAGGAAACCCTCCTGCCTGCGTGCACTCCTACTTACGGATGGACCTGTTCTGCACTTTATTCACTCAATCATCAGTCACTCCATCATCTGTCACTCACTTAACTCACAGCCCAAAGTTGCCATTTCACAAGAATGGTTGTGGTGGGATCTTTCAATTCTTCATGCTATGCCTGCCACCACTGATCGTAAGGGGATCAATGAATCCAATTCTGTCATGTCATGCCTCCCATTACTGAACTCGTGCTGTTTGAATGGCGAAGCATGCTTAGCAATGACAACTCAGACCTGAACTTTTAAACCTTTAATATGCCACAATGATCATGATTTAGTTCATCATGCAAGGCCTCTACATCCTTTTGTTCATCAGCTCTTCACGTATTTGCAGGTCTTGTATTTTCATTCATTATTGCTAGGCAAAGAGATCCTGATTTGGCTGACATAGTGAATGCTGGGTGGTCTTTGATGAAACTCATGGAATATACTTCCGCCTCTGATTCTGGTTCTGTTACTGCAGGGTTTGCTTTTGTCTATTTTGAAGATGAGCGTGACGCTGAAGATGCCATTCGTGGTCTTGACCACTTACCATTTGGATATGACAGACGCAGGCTGTCAGTGGAGTGGGCTAAGGTTTGTTGGTTCATCACTAGTTATATAATTATATTTACTTTTCTCGTCTCCATTCATTTGTTCCTCCTAGCATCAAATAAACTTTGATCAGTTCCATACTCATTTTGTCTAGTAAAAACTCTAATCATTGTTTGGTTCTATTTCTTGAAGGGTGAACGGGGCCGCCCTCGTGATGGCTCTAGGTCGATGACAAACCAGAGGCCTACCAAAACATTGTTTGTTATAAACTTTGATCCAATCCGCACAAGGGTCCGTGATATAGAAAAACACTTTGAGCCTTTTGGAAAGGTTCTGCATGTTCGAATTCGACGGAACTTTGCATTTGTTCAGTTTGAAACACAGGAGGATGCCACAAAAGCTCTCGAGTGTACACACATGAGGTAAAGTGATGTATTAGTTTGTCTTGTTGCTTCGTTAAGGATTCTCAATACCTACATTAATAGGTGAACTAATGTAATGTGATGTCTGATTTTGCAGCGAGATATTGGACAGGGTGGTTTCTGTTGAGTATGCTCTAAAGGATGATGGTGAGAGGGAAGACAGATATGATAGCCCCAGAAGAGGTTATGGTGGTAGGCATGGAGATAGTCCTTATAGGCACTCACATAGTCCAGTGCATCGTAGGGGCCGATCAAGTCCTGACTATGGGCGGGCTCGCAGCCCAGTTTACGACAGGTACAATGGTCCATCATATGATAGACATGGAAGCCCTGGATACAGCAGATATCGGAGGTAGGTGCTTACCCTGTAAAGTTTATTATATTTTTTGTTATTATTATTTTTCTCAGAAGCAGTACTGTTAATCTGAGTCATGTGCTAAGAAGCACAGACACAGAGGAACAATGATACGGACATGGACAAAAAAATGTATTTTATTTACTATGTATATAAGCAAAAATTTAGCATACATATATATGAGAGACATCGATGTTTATGTGGATATATTTTTATTTTTCCTACTTTTTTTCTTCGTTACTCCCATGTACTGTTGACTCCAAATAAGCTTTTCTAACATTATTGAAAAAAAATAATAATAAAAGTGGCCCGATTTGTCTCCGAACATAGGACACGTGTTTATGAAGTGTCCCCAATCTGTCCTACAAAAAATAATAATTAGATTTGACACGTATGTGGCGTGTCGGACACGTGGACACATGTTTCCACATGTCCCCACCATGTCAGACACAACACCCATCTTTGGAGTGTCAGTGCTTCTTAGGTTGTGTGTATCCATGCGCTTTTAGTTTGGAGTTTCATAGGGTTGTTGGGTGGTGTTGACATTTTTCGTTCTTTTTAACATTTTTTTTTTTTTTTTTTTTTGCAGCCGCTCACCTGTGAGAAGGTCAAGAACATGAACGATCATCAGGTTGAAGAAAGGATGAAGTTTGGTTGACATGTCAGTTTGTGGTTGCTTGTGATGGCTTTAGGAACATCATGTAGGGTAGAAGCTAGTTGGGGTATGTTTAGTTGGATGTGTTGTGTATGTTTAGTTGGATGTGTTGTGTTTGAGTTGATAGATATGGAGGATGTGATCATCATTAGTAGATACCCTTATGCTGTGTTTGGTTGGAGGATTTGGGGAGGGATTTGGAAAAAGAAAGGGAAAAGGTGTGTGAAACTATGTGAAATATAGGCATGATTTATTCACATTTCACATATCTTTTCCATTTTCCTTTTCAAATCCCTCCCCAAATTTCCTAACCAAACACAGCATTAGTAGCATTAGTAGATGTTTGAGTTATTTTAATTGGATGAACTAGCATCTTTGGGCCGTGTTCGAACTATAAGAATAAATTGATTTGTGAAGTTATTTGCAAACTTGATAATTTCCTTTTTGTCTACGTATTTTCATTATTTTGTGTGCGTGTGGTATACTTCTAGCAATTGTTTTTATGCTCTTCTATTTTTTTCCTTTGGCGAGTTATAAATCTTTTATCTCCAATGTATGGAGTAAGAATTGTTTTGGTCATGTGTGTATCAATTGAATTTATCCATTTCTACCTTCATTTTTAGTAGGTTTTACCTCCTTCCCTGGTTTTTCTTTTTGGTGGCACATTTCCTGAAATTGCTAACCAGCCTTTTCCCCCAACTGTACTATAACCAGCTATTTAGTGGTGTTGCAAGATGGGTTGGGTCATAGTGTTCTCTCTCTCTCTCTCTGTTTTTATCACTCTTTATTGCTGCTTCCCTTGATCTTTCCATTTTGATGTCGTGGAGCTCAGATCTTGAGTTTGGGTGATATCAACTGGTTAATTAGGTGGTTACAAAGCCACTGATCAAATCTCTAGCTGCTTTGAGGTTGTTTGTTTGTTTGTTTATCCACTGGGAATGATACCAAGTCGTGGTAGTTCACCGTTTTCCAATGAATTGGAACTCCAAGTCTCCCTTGGGAAACCTAGAAATTTTCTCTTTCGTATTTATTTATTTAGTTATATTTTAAGTAGATGACACCCTTCTTTACCCGGACATGATGTTTGAGTTTGAGTTTTATTGTTGGGAGTTGCAATTTCTTCTTTCCTGTTTTTCTTTTATTGATTGTGAGAAGAAAAAAAAAAGAAAAAGAAAAAGAAAAAGAAAAAGAAAGGTATAGGGAGGACTGTGCAGGAGCAGTTTATCTAGTTGCAGGCTTGCAGCCTCCCAAAGCCTGTTGCTTTCAAGTCCCCCTCAGTTGAATAGCGAATATACTGAGTTTCATAATATTATATTACTTGAACATACTCATATATGCAACTGTGAACAAACAATTTTTTCTTATTAGTTCACACATGATTATGTTATATCATCCATTGTCTTTACCAGAACCATTTAACCGGATCATCGTCCTGACTCCCGATCAAGCGCCTTTTTGAGCCATGTTTCTGCATCTTCCATCATCCCGGGGCTGAGCCTCACCATCAAGATGCAAAACTCCGTCTCACTAAGCGCTCCATCTCCGTCAAGGTCTCCTTCTCTCACCATCGCTTCTGAGTCTTCTTCACTCATTCCCTCCATCCCCAGGAGTGCGGAGTTCTTCCGCAAACTCTCTGACGTGATCAGCTTGGTCGTAGGGTCTGCCAGAAGCCGGAACCCTCCACAAAGTTCGGACACAAAGGCGTCGACATCGAGCTTCTCTGCCATCACTGGCAGCAAATCTTGGTACACACTTGTGGTTTGTTTGGTTTCCATTTCTATAAGCAGGTTTGTGGATTGGATTGCTTTGAAAAACAAGTTTTGTTTTGAACAAAAAGAAGTGTGTTAGGACTGGGAAAGAAGGAAGACCATTGCAATAATCTAAAGTTGAAGAAAAACTATGTATATATATATACGAAGAAGTGGTGGTGGTGGTGTATGGTGTGGAAGTGTATGAGGTACGGGTGGTATCTGAATGGACGGTTGGATTCGTTGCAAAACCGTCCACGCTTGTTGTGTGTGTGATAGAAACTATATTCCCAAAGTCTAGGGTTGGAACAATTATTGAGGGTAACGCTCACTTATCAATAAAAAATTAAAATGTTTTCGTCCATAGTTAAGACATTATTATGATATTGTCATTTAAAAATTAGTCTCATTTATTATACACATCACAAAATTCAAAACCTATAAAATTATTCTCTATCATCTGTTAATGTATTAATTGGTATATAAATTGATACATATAGTATTATTCTAAAAACATAAAATGTACATATGTAAGATAAATGTTCACAATTATAAATACAATCATATTTATAAAAATAAATATGAAGATTTATGTGTTTTGTGTCTAGTTCCTTTAAGAAGAGCAAATGAAGCTAGATAGATAAGTTTTGGATCCTACTAGCCTAACCATATTGTGATTCTTATAATCTCAAGGGTTTGGCCTGATGGTGAAGCTTAGGACTTGGATGTTTGCTCCTTCTAAGATCTCATGTTCGACTCTCCTTCCTCTCGTTAGTAAAACTCTTGAGGCCGCGAACAGCAAGAAATTAACCTGTTTCGAAAGGTTTGTTTAAATTGTAAGAACTTAGTTTAGTGTGTACAAACTGATCCAAGTTACCATACATGTCCAAAACAAAAAAATTTGTTGTGGCTCTTATTATAAAGTGAGATTGCTCATGGTGATATGTTGTATCCAATATTACTATTGTTGTTTACTATAGTTTAAATGTCATGTTTAAGATTTTGTGTCCAACTATTTATTGGCACATTTTTTTTTTTAGATTGAAACTATTTGTTGCTATTTAAAAATAAAAAAAAACTGCATTTCAGAGGAGCGGTGGAAAAAAATTTATATTTTCATGATAATACAACTCTCCTGTATGCATGGTGTAAATTCATTCACGTGTTTGGTGCAACCTTTCCTCTGTGTTAAAGTTGCACCAAAAAACAAAAAAAATCCTTTGTAGTATAATTTTTTCCCCCATTGCTCCATTTATTTGCAGTTTTCACTTTAAAAATTGTAAGTTTTAGTTTAACTTTAGCTAAGTTTAAAATGATTGTTGTAGTTTATGATAAAATAGTTTAAGCTTTTATTTCAGCTTATTTGAGGTAGCTAGGGGGTGCATCTCCGCTTTCGGCTTATGTGATAATCTTATTTTAATTGGAAATTACTCAAACACCCTTGCTCTTTCTTAAACAATCCACCCCTTCTTTATATATATATATATATATTTATAAAAAAAATAAAATAAAAACTACCTTACATCTTATATTCAGTACATAAAATAAATCTAACAAAACCTACATACACACAATATAAAAAATAGAATGAAAAAATACTTGACTATAAGTCAGTCTTTAGGGTCAGACACTAGCGGCTCAATGTCTACCTACTCGTACGGAATTGGCTGATCTGATACAATGTTAGCGGCAGCCAACGCTTTGAGCTAGTCGTGTTTGAACCCCTTATTTTCAAATTTCGGCACTTTATCTACATAGTCCGCCAAGGCAGCATCTTTGCCTTTCTAGAATGACTTGGAAAACTCAGACTCGGCATTTGCCAACGCCCTCTTTGACTCTTCCAAGTAAAAATCAATAAATACACAAAAATACAAAAAATATACTAAATTTTCATATATATATATATATATATTTTGTATTTTTGATATTCAATAAATTTGTTAAATATTTTTTTTACAAATATTATATTGTTTATGTGTATATATACTACATATATCTAAAAATTAAAAAATTATTTAAAACATTAAATTTTTTTAATAAAAATAAAAAAAATATGAAAAATAAAAAAATTTAAAAAATCTCAAACCAAAACAAGGTTTGTATTCTCGATAAAACACTTTCCAGGAAGGTGCTTTTGGGATAGTAATTGTGGTGAGGTTGGGTCCACGGGACAGACGTAAGCATGAGGAAGAATTAGATTGATTTGTCAGGAGAGAGAAAGAGATAGGAGTTTACAACATCTTTCTAAGAAGTTTCCTTGATTGTTCGTTTCTCTTTTTCATAAATGTTTATCCTCTTCTTCCTAGTACTCTGTCAATGGACCCTTCTTTGCAATAATTATTATATTGGCATCCCAAACAGAGAGTTAAGGCGGGTTTTATTTGCCTCACCCTTGTGCAGTTTCCTTTTGCAAGTTGAATGTTGGACCATGCCTCCTCCATCGGGTATTGGAGCTTAGGGTTTTTTTTTTTTCATTTTTTTAACGTGGAAAAAGATATTCTGTGAAGACATTATAGCATTCGTGGGTTTTGGTTTCAGAGTAACCAATTGCCAGCTAAATTTAATCCAATCCATAGAAAGAGATGTACAGAACTACTCAATGAATCTCATCCACGTGCCATAGAAGTGATTAAGTATCGATCGGAGTACAGTGCAAAGTCTTCGTAAAGAGAGCGCACCCTTCAGAATTCAATCTTGACTCACTCATGTGAAACATAATGCATTGTCTACGTGGCCACCACCCCTGGTCATTGACACCATATGATGATCTGGACTTGCCACATAGTCACCATGTGTGTCCTGGACTCATCACGTCATTGTTACCAAACTTTCCAAAACAAATATCGGATATTGATGCGAGCTTTGTGATGGGTCCACAGAAGCCTAACATCAACCCTTTAGTTGGAGAGGAGAGGAGCCTACTCCGATAGAAAATGCGTCTGAACTCATCACTTCATTGTCACCAAACTTACCAAAACAAATATTGGATATCAATGTGGGCTCCGTGGTGGGCTAACGAAAGTCCTCCAGTTGGACTGGAGAGGAGCGTACTCTAATAGGAAATGCATCTGAACTCATCACTTCATTGTTACCAAACTTTCCAAAACAAATATTGGATTTCAATATGGGCTCCGTGGTGGACTAACGGAAGTCTTTCAGTTGGAGTGGAGAGGAGCTTAATCCAATGGAAAATGTGTTCATGCATAGTGCACCAACAAATGCCACATGTGAGCGTATGTAGATGGTGAAAGCATACACTCTAGCACCTTTTCCACATTTCCTTATTTAAAGGAATATTGTATGCGAGTATTTATTAATTCATCTCTTTTCTCTCATTTTTTCGATGTGGGACGAACCACAAAACTAAAAAAACTTTATAAGGAATAACGAAGGTTTTGAAAAAACAATAAAAAGTAAATCCATTTTATTTAAAAAAATCCCCAACAGTATTGATGAAGATTTGAATATTTTCCTTTTGGACTGGTTTCACTACAAATTAAAGGGCCTTTTGAGTTGATTTTTTTGAGTCGATAGATTTTTACCGTCGCAAAAGCTAGTCTTTTTGCGACAGCACGGAATTACCGACGCAAATACCAAACTTTAGTGTTTGCACCGTTGGCCGACACAAAAAAATTAATATTCTATAGTATTACTTGAGTCGGTTGAATTTACTGACGCAAAAGATAGACCTTTTCTGTCGGCAAACTCATGCCGACGCAAAACACAAGACATTTTTGTGTCAGCAACTGATGTCGTGGCAACAAAAATATTTTTATACTCAAGATATATATATTTACTTGATTATATTTAATAAATATATTTGTTTATGCATATACATTTATATTAATATTGAGTGTATATACTATAAATAATATATATCTCATTTAAAATTAGAAAGAGGTATTGTGTGTAGTGGGCTAAGTGTGGTATTTTAGGTTCAAGCTGCTTCAGCATGAAGTGGGTTCCAATCTTGGGAGTCTCAATGAGGAAATTATGGGTTAGATTTTTTAAAACATTTAACCACTTTTTGCATCGGCAACTTACCGTGTCAAAAAATTGAAACATTTTACGTCGGCAACTTGCTGACTCAAAAACCTTTGCGATCCCACCAGTTTTTTCCCTCGAGTTGTCGTTGCAGCGCCGTCGCAAAAACGTTTTGTGTTAGCAAATATGCTATTTGCGACGGCACGCTGCCAACTCAAAAACCCTCTTTTTTAGTAGTGTTTATAAGTTTAAGGAGTAATAGTTGAATCTTGAGTTTAGTTTCTTCAGGTGGGTCTAAAAAGTCTTGCGTAGAATGAATTCTAAATTATAAAAAATAGAAAAAGAATAAACTCTATGAAAATTCAATTAGGCTTTTTTTGTCATGCATGATTGGAATTGGGTGAAAATGGAATGATAATGGAAAATAAATGCAATGCTTATTTGTAGCCGGTAGGAATGAAATGATCACTACCATGCCTTGTTGTCAAAATGAAATGAAATTTTAAACCAAACTAAAACTAGGGCACTCAACCCAAAAATCTAAATTTGAATTTTCTTGTCTAACAGTCCACCTGCGGAAATGGTATGTCCACAAGGACATGATTCTGCAAAATGAACAAATTGCCCAGCTATATATATTGCGTCGAGATCCTCTAGAGTGAAAAAGGTAGAGTGATCTCCTACAGTAATTTATGAGGGCGCGACACCTGTCTCACTAATGGAACTAAGGGTTGAGATCAATCCCTCACCAAAACGACGTCGTTTTGGTGAGGAAATTTAAAAAAAAAAAAAACAAAAAACGTGATAAGAGAAACGAAGAGAGAGAGAGGACACACAACCGGAGTTCTTCTCCATCTCCGGCGCACTCTCCTTCACTCCGGTGGCTGCAGTCCATCTGTATACATCACATATTGTGTAATTTATTTGTTTGTTTCAATCTCAAACCCACCCCTCTTCTTTACCCCTTAATTACTTCCTCATCAATTATCGTAAGTCATCACAATCAAAGACAGATAGCATCTTGATCAAATCTGTCAAGCACTACTCAAATGATTTGGAGAAAATGCAAACCCACTCAACATTGTCCTACTAACAAGACTGATGGAAATTTTATTGAAAACCTAGAACCTAAATGATATTCTCCCAACATTTCCCCCCTTTTTAAGAAGATTTATAATCTGATCTAATATAAAACCCATACCGAATCGGAAATCTTTGACCATAACAACCTAAAATTTCCAATTTTTTATTCTCCACACCAGTTGTACTATAGTACTCAAACCCACAGAA